GTAAGACCTACAGATTTGATTAATTGAGGTGCAATTTTTTTTCCAATGACAACTTTTTAAAACTAGGATTTTGCAACACCATCTGTCCTAATTTGAAATTAAAGACAGCTAATTAAATGCACTTGCAAAGGTAAGTAAAAAATAATACTATGGTGCTGTAACTCTAATATGAAGGAGAAACAAAGTGAAAGCAGTTCATACAATAATAAACTATGCTTGTTGCTGTGTTAGCCCTTAGGCATGTCTTACTAGGGGACGTGATGACGTTGTCCAGAGCCTTTGTCTCTCATAGCGTCATGGTGAATGTGACAGTCACAAACACCAACTAATGCACCACACAGGTGCAGTAGCATAAACACTGGGGACATTGCTTTCCATAATGGTGAACACTCGTAATTTCCAAACAAAAAGGATCCAGACTTTGACAGTTCTTGCAGTCCTGGAGCCAAACTAATGGGTGGTCATGAGCAAGAGAGTTGGGTTGCAGGTGCAGATTATTGTAAACAGGTTTTCCAAAGACGCAAATGTCCTAAAGTGGCATTTGGAGGTGGAGTGGCACAAATTCACTGAGCCTGTCAGCTCCCTGGTGGCAGATTTCAATTTCCAAAATGTCCCCTAGGGGGCGCCACCACCGAATCCCACTATGGGAAAAATCATTTTTCTTTCTTTCTTTCTTTCTTTCTTTCTTTCTTTCTTTCTTTCTTTCTTTCTTTCTTTCTTTCTTTCTTTCTTTCTTTCTTTCTTTCTTTCTTTCTTTCTTTCTTTCTTTCTTTCTTTCTTCCTTTCTTTTAATTAAGTAGAATCCACGCCCAACGTGGGCTTGAACTCACGACCCTGATATCAAGAGTCTCATGCTGTAGTGGCTGAGCCAGCCAGGCGCCCCAAAAATCATTCCTATTGATTATTTTATGACAGTCAAGTATGTATGATCCTGTTTGATTTTTTTAAAAATCCAGATAAAGAAATCAAGGCACAAGGGAGGTTAAAGTTCACATAGCAAGCCTGGTGGACAAATTTGGATTTGGACTTGGGACTGCCAATAGCCTTCCCTTACCTACAAAATTATACCACCTCTCGCCACAATAGGGTAGACAGATCTTATTTTCATATAGGTTCAA